GAAGGTATATACATCTACAGTTACAAACCATCAAGAAACACGCGTCCCCACACACAAACCCTCGAAGGTATATACATCTACAGTTACAAACCATCAACTTGCAACTTTTCATGATTATAAGACTCGCATTATCAATTGGAAATCTTTCAAGGTACATTTACTGGCAAACCACACAAGGTACACTTATCCGCATTTACAAATCATCAAATACCTTACTTCAGCTCCTGGACTTGGTTCAGGAGATGGAGTAAGTATATAGAGGGGTATGAGACGATGCTCTTGATCCGAGGAGTTGGAGAGAAGTTGTTCATTGTCTTGTGTTAGTAACAAGTTGAGATCCTATCTACATTTACAAACCATCCAAGGTACAAACATCCATACCTGGAGTATACCTGGAGTATACCTGCAGAAGGTTTCGGGGATCAACGCCCCCGCGGCCCGGTCCACGACCAGCACTCGTATCCATACTTAAAAACCTAAAATTTAAAAACCACTTAATATCTTACAGTCTCCCAGTCTTAGATTGAATAATTTTTGAAAGAAAAGCATATGATTGTTTTCTCTGAAAACGACTCTTTAGTAAGTGGAAGCACCTGGAACACAACTTGTTAGTAAGTGGAAACACCTGGAACACAACTTGTTAATAAGTGGAAACACCTGGAACACAACTTTTTAGTAAGTGGAAACACCTGGAACACAACTTGTTAATAAGTGGAAGCACCTGGAACACAACTTGTTAGTAAGTGGAAGCACCTGGAACACAACTTGTTAATAAGTGGAACACCTGGACACAACTTGTTAATAAGTGGAAACACCTGGAACACAACTTGTTAATAAGTGGAAACACCTGAAACACAACTTGTTAATAAGTGGAAACACCTGGAACACAACTTGTTAATAATTGGAAACACCTGGAACACAACTTGTTAATAAGTGGAAACACCTGGAACACAACTTGTTAATAAGTGGAAACACCTGGAACACAACTTGTTAGTAAGTTGAACCACCTGGAACACAACTTGTTAGTAAGTGGAAACACCTGGAACACAACTTGTTAGTAAGTGGAAACACCTGGAACACAACTTGTTAGTAAGTGGAAACACATGGAACACAACTTGTTAGTAAGTGGAAACACCTGGAATACAACTTGTTAGTAAGTGGAAACACCTGGAACACAACTTGTTAGTAAGTGGAAACACCTGGAACACAACTTGTTAGTAAGTGGAAACACCTGGAACACAACTTGTTAGTAAGTGGAAACACCTGGAACACAACTTGTTAGTAAATGGAAACACATGGAACACAACTTGTTAGTAAGTGGAAACACCTGGAATACAACTTGTTAGTAAGTGGAAACACCTGGAACACAACTTGTTAGTAAGTGGAAACACCTGGAACACAACTTGTTAGTAAGTGGAAACACCTGGAACACAACTTGTTAGTAAGTGGAAACACCTGGAACACAACTTGTTAGTAAGTGGAAACACCTGGAACACAACTTGTTAGTAAGTGGGAACACCTGGAACACAACTTGTTAGTAAGTGGGAACACCTGGAACACAACTTATTAGCCAGTGGAAACACCTGGAACACAACTTATTAGCAAGTGGAAACACCTGGAACACAACTTATTAGCAAGTGGAAACACCTGGAACACAACTTATTAGCAAGTGGAAACACCTGGAACACAACTTATTAGCAAGTGGAAACACCTGGAACACAACTTATTAGCAAGTGGAAACACCAGTAACACAACTCAGTTACAGCCTTGGGAACTCATTTAACCTGCATGTTCTGTATTGTAGTTATTATCTGCATTAACTCTTTATATTCAACTTTTTTTATTACTACTAAAACTGTGTTAACTAAGTAACCAAAGCGAAGTAAACCTTTCTCTGTCACAATTAATATATAATATAGAATATATATTATATCTATATATATATATATATATATATATATATAATATATATATATATATATATATATATATATATATATATATATATATATATATATATATATATGTATGTATGTATAATTCTATGCATTTGCTTTGAACTACGTGCCAAGTCTTCTTTCTCATCATTTAGTGATGTTTTCAGCTGATTAAACGAATCTATCTCTATCGACTTCCTTCTTTTGAGCCTGAGCTGGTTATTGAAAATTGTCTGGTTAATATATTATAATCTCTCTCGTTATAATCTTTTTTTTCGATACCTTCCACCTTGAAGGCCCATCTCTCTCTCTCTCTCTCTCTCTCTCTCTCTCTCTCTCTCTCCTCTCTCTCTCTCTCTCTCTCTCTCTCTCTCTCTCTGCGTGTAAAGTTGCGAGTGCTGCTTGACTAACCCTGCCACTTCCTGACCTCAGTGCCACCTCGATGGGTGCTGGAGCCTCAGGACATCAGCGTCACTAGAGGGGAGGACGCCTACCTCACCTGCCTTGCTACAGGCTTCCCCGAGCCCACAGTCACCTGGAGAAGAACCAGACCAGGCGAGTGTGGGATGATATACAGGTGTTCCAGACTCATTGTTCAATTTACACGAGTTTATAAATGGATGGAAACAGTTGGGACTAACCACAGCTTGATCTTTACATGTCCCCATTATGCCACCCACAACTGTAGATTATTACCCACGAACCTATTTACTGCTAGGTGAACGAGTGTACTAAAACATGCCCAACACCTTCTCTTGCACAAGGGTCAAAATTAGGTGAGCCGCAGCCACCACTGAGCCACAAGCCACCTGATACCTTTCACATGCTCGGTAACTGAGTCGCTTCCACAAAGTCACCAGGTAAAGGTCATCATGTAAAAGGTCACCAGGTAAAAGGTCACCAGCTTAGTGTTTGTATCACTTAAAACATTATAAGATAGTCTTGAGCTGCGGTAATCAGTATTTTTGGTTCTTATATCAGAACTGTTCAAGTTGTGTAAATAATTTTGAGTAATATTAAAACATTCTTATTGTGTTTATCGTCTTTAATGTTGACCTACAAATTGTATTTAGAATTTTACGCAACGTTTCGGTCCGTCCTATGTCATTATTAAGAAAGTAATGACAGTGAACAGTGAGTATGAAAAAGTCAGATTAAGTGTATGCACACCGAAATGTATGTTTCTTAGTGTGTATACAGCGAGAGGTGGACATACACCCAAGGTTATGTATCTTAGTGTACATACACGAGAAGTGTATATGAGAGATACACATCTCTCATGTACACTGAGAGATGTATATCTCTCATTGTATATACAAAGAAAGGTGTGTCTCTCTCTGTGTATTTACTCTAAGATTACCTTTGTCCCTAATTAATGTAATAAAGTAACTTTGACTAGTGATGTACAGGTGACGTTACATGTGGCGTGTTACGCAGTGTGCTGCAGTAAAATATTGTAGTAATATATATATATATATATATATATATATATATATATATATATATATATATATATATATATATATATATATATATATATATATATTATATATATAAATTGTACTGAAAGCGGACGTGTATTATTCCTGGTCAATCCGTGTGGCCAGGACAATGGCAGAAGACGTGTGTTTAGTTCACTACGAGGCGGGCGGTGACGGGGAGAAGTCATCATGGTTCGGGCATTAGTGTGAGTAGGTGATTTTGGTAAGTTTTTTATTGTATACTGTAGGATATTTCATTTGTATTTAAGTGCTCTCATGTTTATCTGTCAGGCCCTAGTATGCAGAGGCCTGTTTAAATTACGTGAGAGTACCGTAGGGTGTTTTTGCCTGCTGGTAACTAGTCTACCAGGCAGAAGCGAAGGGGTGGGGGGTGTCATGGAGCCTCCCTGTTTATATATTTAGTTAACTCACTAGTACCAGTGTGCTAGTAAGCTAATGTGAACTGGAGTGTGGTGGTTTTTTGCAGTAGAGTGTAGGTTGTATACACTATATACTGTATATTATATATATATATATATATATATATATATATATATATATATATATATATATATATATATTATATATTATTATATATATATATATATATATATATATATATATTATATTATATATATATATATTTGTATATGTGTTTTGTGTCCTCCCTTTTACAATATATTGATTATTTGCACTCATGCTTCATAATTTGTATTAAGGTACATGCTGGCTAAAGAGTTGCTGTTTTTTGAGTGTAATTTAAATGCCCCTAGATAGCAGACTGAGCAGCCATTTAGGAGCCAGGACATTTTTTTTTAAAGTTACGATTTCAAAGTCGTAACATGGCGTTTCATGTGAAATTACATGTGCCGTTACATGTGACGTTACATATGACGTTACATGTGCCATTACATGTGACGTTACATGTTAGTGAAACAGTCAAGGCAAGACATGTGATGTAATTGGTTTAGAAAGCCGACAAATTTAAGAAAGAGAAACTTGTGAAACATTTGGTAATCATTGTTTTGGAAACGTTTCGCCAGCCAGTGGCTTCTTCAGTCCAGTACATAGAAGAACAGTGGAAGATGAAGAGGAGCTTTAGGTAATCAATCCCTCAGTCTGAAATCAATGTGTTGAGTCCATTAATTTTGATCGACTCCAGGCTGAGGGACTTATTGCCTCAAACTCCTCCCAATCTTCCATTATTTTTCTCTGTATTGGACTGAAGAAGCCACTGGCTGGAAAAACGTTCCAAAATTAATATTCCTAAATGCTGTATTATTATTATTATAATCAAAAAGAAGCGCTAAGCCACAAGGGCTATACAGCCCTAAATGCTGTAAAAGTGTCTTTCTTCAGCCTGTTGGTTTTTCTAAACCCTTACATCACCTCTCTTGCTCTGATTGGCTGCTTTACTAAAATTAAAGTCTGTCGACTTCCTAATTAAGGCTCCTTGATGTTGGTAAAGAACTCTTGAACCAAGCATCGGACCTGATAATCTCCCATTCTTCAGGAGCTGTATGACCCTTACTGGCTTAGTGCTTCCCTGTGAGTTTAATATTAATAATCTCGGATTTTTCAGGTCCTGTCAAGGGTGTGTACAGCAATGCAGATGAGGGCGTGGGCGTCGACATGGGCTTGGATATTGGTATGAGCGTGCCCATCAGTCGCACCTGGAACAACGGGACTCTCCTGGTGCCGGCAGCGACGGAGGATGCTGAGGGCAGCTACCTATGTGAGGCCACCAATGGTGTGGGTGCTGGCCTCTCTGCTCTCATCACACTCCAGGTACACGGTGAGTAACTTTGGTGCACAGTGAATAACTAAGGTGTACAGTAACTTAGGTCTACAGTGTGTACTTAAGGTACATAGTGAGTAACTTAGATGTACAGTGAGCGACTCTGATGAGGAACTTCAGTGCACGGAAAGTAACATTTGTATACAGTTTATTAACTTAGGTTCACGGTGAGTAACATAGGTTTGCAGTATATCACTTGCACGGCAAATCACTTAGGTACACGGTAGACAACAGGTGCAGGGTAAGTTAGGTGCTCAGGTGATAGGCATTATCCAGCAGAATACGCTGAGAGCAGTAGCCAGAATACTAAATCAGAAAGTCCGTAAATGACTCACGATGCCTAAGTACACTCCGTTAAAGGTTTAGACTGAATTCTTTATCGACGAGAGCATCGATACTCTGAAGGAAGAGACTAAACTTGTTCAAAAGCAGAGCTTGCACTGATACCACCTCTGGCTGCGCTCCCAGTTACCTCGAACTATTGCTTAGAGCAAATATAAAAGAGCACCATAGTTTATACCAGTAATGAAGACGATAAAGGGTGACAGTGTCTGGTGTCTTCAGTTGATGGTGGAGGGTGTGATGGTACCACAAGTCCATGGATGGATGGGTGTGTGGAGCATCATTGATTGTTAGAGGACACAAGTGCAACTAATGTGACATTTTATTGTGGCAACGTTTCGCTCTCCAGGAGCTTTATCAAGCCTGGAGAGCGAAACGTTGCCACAATAAAGTCACATTAGTTGCACTTGTGTCCTTTTACTTTACATATTGTCGGTAATTCTACCAACTTTATTACATCATTGATTGTTGTACATGAATGGTATACAATAGCGACAAGATGGTATCTTGGTACAGAGGATATTTCCACTACCTACTTGCCATCCCCAAGGGATGGGCCACTTGAGAATCCCACCTACCGCCTTCGTCTGTTGTACCTCATGTGATGTCGGTATATAAGCGCCAGTCTACATGCTTGTGCTTCAGATCCTTCAAGACTACGGTGCTTATCACCTGCTCCTAGGCTGAAGGACTGATTACCTCGTCTTGCACTATCTTCTGTATATAATTCTACAGTATTCATATTACGTCCATGTACTGTATTGAGGAAGCCACTGGATGGCGAAACATCTATAAAGTGAAGATACCCAAACATTGAATAAGTCTCTATTTCTTCTTCACATCATATTAGCTGTGCGGACTGTAGTCAGTGTGAAGCTCTAGGGAATTTTCTTCTAACGTGTTCAGGAACACATGTCGAGAGAGTTAAACGACATAACAGTATCGCCTGTGTAAGAAGTTTGTCACCAAGAAACTTCATACGCTGAGTGCCCAAGTTCGATTCCCGGCAAGGGAGGAAACATTGGACGAGTTTCACCACCGATTGTCCATGCTCACCCGTCAGTAAAAATGGCACCTAGGTGTTAGTCGACTGGTGTGGGTAGCATCCTGGGACAAAACTGACTTAATTTGCCCGAAATGTTCTGCAGGGCAGGGCGAGACATACGGGCGAGTCTCCTAACACCCACTGTCCCTGTTAACCTTCAGTAAAAAGGTACCTGGGAGTTAGTCGATCGTTGTGGGTTGCATCCTGGGGAATGATCAAACACTACAAACTACTGAGCAACTCGAATGTCTCTCAAATGACCTAATGATGCACTTTCTGTGCCCAAAGTACACGATACAAGAAAACCTGAACCTAACCTCCAGGTATAACAAGCGGCTTTCTATATAGTAGTATGTCATTCATGTCAACTAGGCCTGTATACCTTGTACATGTACCTGTAGAAAAAAAAGATGATTATATTATTAAAAGTAAACAACCAGACATACGTACTGCTGAAGGGTTACGCATCTGGATCTAATTTTATGTAGGCGCCGGCTAACAAAGAAAATTTTTTATTTTGGATGTGAAAGTTAGAAACGGCTATAATATGTACACTACTTATTAGTTTAGAGGTCAGGCAGAAATATATTATTCGAGACAGCTGAAGCGGTGCTGGGCTGCGAGTTGGGCAACACACCAGAGAACAGCAGCTCAGAATCAGTCATCACCTGTTTTACGATTATCGGAATTGCCTTGTAGAGGTAAATGGTTGAGGTATGTGGATGATATCTTGTGTCTTTGGCCACATGATATGGCCCTGGATACATTTTTGCCAAGACAACGCTTTAGTCCTGTCTATTAAATTTAAATATCAGAAAGGTATTTTCAACTTAACGCCTATGTAACAATGATTAAAATTCAGCTAGACACTTGTTAACCTTTCTACCTCCTAATGATCAAGGAAAACTTTGACCAAAATAGGTCCTAAAAGCTTCCTTATTGCAGCCCCGCCTCTCTGTCTATAAACCTTCTCATTAAATAGAAAAGATCAATCTGTTGCTGGTACTTGAAGATCATCTTTGCACCAGTCCTTACCAGGTGTCCCTTCGTGTTTCTCTGAACAAAGCACACAGAATTTATGTCGTTTCTGTTGCACACATTTGTGTGTTCGTTTGTCGTTTGTCTTAATGGACGGACTTTCTACCAGTTTCCCTCACGTATTTCTTTTCCCAACGCCACACGGGATCGTGTAGACACCGGCGGTGGAAACATGTGAGTAGTGGGCCGCTTCCTGATGAAATACTTGATGCTTTTGGATGCAACAGTACAGTAATTAACCTGGATGTTTCTCATAGCAAACGACGTGTTACTGGCAACATGAGAACATACCTATTAAGTAAGGAAGTTTATACAAGTATACATAAATACAGTTACGTAGATTATCATACATAGCAGCGTATGTGTAGAGAACCTAGGATAACCCAGAAAAGTCAGACAGAGTGACTTATTTCTAATTGGTCATTTCCTTGTTGGTTGCTCCCTGGATGCTGTGTTGAAGATGGCGTTGCCCTTCATCTACAGTTGTGTATGAAGATACACGTAATGGAACTCAGGACTTCAGACACGGAAACCTTAAAAGAAGACAATTACTATTCTTTTAGTCCGTGTGTCGTAGAGGCTCCAAGGTGTCCAGTAAAACATTCTAATGGTGACAAATGTTGTATAATATTGACACGATGGATAAATACAAAAATACAGTATATTGCGATCCGGTATTGACAACGTTTCGCCTGGACAGTGACTTGTAAAAACGCACTGCGTGGAGGTAACGTTGTCAGACACTGCAACTTCTTGGGATCTTAATACTTAGGAATTCTTCGCTTGCCTAATTCTTGGGCACGACCTACTTCCACATTGAACAAATGTGACACCGCCTATGACTGCTGCACCTCTCCTACCTACGGTTTATAAGCTGCTTCTCCGCTCATATGCCGTATTCTATTCAAGATTGATGGACTGAACACATCGACTCAAGGTTGAGGGACTGATTACCTCATTCTCCTCCTGTTCTTCAAGTTTCTCCTACGTATGGACTGATGAAGCCACTGTGTGGCGAAACGTTTCCTCAATAAAGTTACCCAAGAGTTGCACATGTGTCTAAATTTATCAACATGTCGGTTCTCTGAACCATTCATCTACAACGTTGTCAATAAAGGATCGCATTATACTATGTTTGAGACTTTATCTAAAACGTCCTCGTATTTGTATTCTGTATCTCTTTTCAACTTTTGTGTTTTTTTAACCATAAAGTATTATTGTCTCCATTGTGTAAGGAGAAAGTCTCTTGATAAAGACGACGTTGAAAATTATTAGTTTCCCGAGTGTAACACTCACAGCAATGGACTCCTACAAATGCTAGAAATCATTTAGGTATTTTCCAAAAACCTTTTCACGAACTCTTGAAGTCAGTGTTTACGTCTTAATAAGAGAATTTTTTTGCAGATTAAAGTTCTTCCAAATAAGGAATAGCAAAATTTTTTACCTCTGGCCGAGATTATAAAATCCCAAGTGTAACCCAACTTAGACAAAGCTTAGTAAATTAACTCAATTTCCTTTTCTGAGAATAGGCCCTAAGAAATGGCCGCGAAATGAGTTCTGAGTATTTCGCCAGAGTCATTCTACCCAGACAAAACACAACCATCAGTTAATCTCCCAAATATGCATCACCTGACCTTGTTCATATATATATATAGTATTCCGTATATTTAATTTTCCTTAATAAATATCCTATTACCCTTCATATTTCTTATATACTCAGACTCCCTCATGGCCCACACACCGCCATCCTGTTACAGTGTACCTTCCCCTCACCTTCATGTTTCATTCCTCACACCCATAAACCCGACTTTCCTCATATCACACTCACTCATACTTTACCTTCCCCTCGTCCACACCACAAGTTACCACTTCTCAATCCCTCCAACTGCTCATTTAATCACCTAACTCATCAATCTAGCAATTTGTGGCATGTCATATTTTTCTCAGCGACTTAAGACTTTGCTGACAAGAGCTGATGGACAAACTTGTGTCCCATTAGCTGCTTGACACAACTTATCGCCTCAACTTGTGGCCAACTTAGGTAGAGAACTTTCCCAGCTGAAGCTATTAATGGTTCCCCTCCCTCCACCTCCATCCTTACTCTTGCCTCCTGGCTTCCATTCTCTGACCAATATAATCCCTTCGCCTATGTTCACCCACGTTTATTTTCCACACTTCATCTTCCTTCTCTATTCAGCTTTCCTCTTCTCTCCTTCCCTATCTCTTCTATATTTTCCAACCTTCATCTTTTCTTCCTTCTTCCTCCTCCTCCTATCTCCACTTCTCTCCCTCTCATTGGATAATGTTTGTCTGACCTTTACCAGCCGAGAGTTCTGATATTGCTTTTCGAAAGGTCATTTGAATTGCGATGTTCACGCACTTTTTGGCAAGACAGATAGAGGGCGAGTGAGATTCCATCTTTGGTCCATCCCCCTCCCCCCCACACACACATATGAGGACCAGGCAGAACTACAAAGGGATCTGGACAGGCTACAGGCCTGGTCCAGCAACTGACTCCTGGAGTTCAACCCCACCAAGTGCAAAATCATGAAGATTGGGGAAGGCCAAAGAG